AACATTTTTGTCCCTGGCACTTGTGTAGCTCTGGCCAGACTGTCGTTTCTTTTTTCTTCGATTTTTCGTCCATTCACCTGGGTGACGTTTTCTTTTCCTACTTCTACAAGAACTTGCAGGCATGTCCTCATCTTCTGTGATCTGTTCCTGAGAGCCCCGAGAGTCCTGTGAGTCAAGTGTGAACTCGTCCATCTCAGCTTTGTTCACATTTGGGTAAGGGTTGCAGTATCAGCAGCAGCACCAGAAGATACTTCCACTACAGACGAGACGTCAAGATGATCTTGCTCCAGTCGGATAATTGGTTCCACTTCATGAATTTCCTGCGAATCTGTTGAATCATCAGGAACAGTTAAGGTGACCATCATCAGCACATCGGTTAAGTTGTAAGTATCAGCCATGATTAGACTTTCTTAATACATAACACGAAAGGTGCAGTCAACAAATCGATCAACAATGAGATGTGTAAAGTCAACCAATTGGACGGTGTTTTCAAGAGTCAAGTCAAAGAACAGCAGGTTTGGATGGGCAACCTCAAGGAAGTCGAAGCAACTTGTAAGATCAAAAGTAATACCAAAAGCTTCCAGGCAACAGCAGTTATTAGTGTGCTCAAATATGTCTTTCAGCTTTTTGTGGGGGACACCTTTGTAAAATTGAAATTGACCGACAGAAGACTCTGGCAGTATTTGATGATTTCAAAGTCTTCATCAACTAACAATGAGCAGTGTATATTTTTACATAGGATAGGTCCAACTTGGTAAGATGTTCCGCCCTCACTAGTCCTGTTGTCAAGGAGTAGTCTACCACAGAGACACTTTCGTGGAATGAAATATGGCAAAGAGTCAAAGTTTCAAAATACTTTGATTTCCTAAGAATTCGATGAAATTCCACAACAGAAAGTTCTTGAAAAGACAGATCCATATGTTTCCAAAGATGCCGAACTGAATGTACTAGCGTATGTAACCATTTTGATGTTCTGGCTACATTTTGCAAAAGATCTTGAATAGGTACAAGGAGAAGAATTTTTACAAGAACTTCATTAGGAACATCACTCAATCTGAAAAATAAGAACACAAACTTAGTTTTGCAATAGAGTATGATATTGTTCTATGTCACAGTTATAACCAATAAAAGTTCCATAGAAATTAAGAACCAAAATGTACTATCTCCCAACTGAGATTAAAAAGCATTTACTTTGCAGGAAAATATATTTGGCAAAGTAACACTGCAATAAAAGACACATTGTATTTCTATGGACTCGACGAGCAACGTCACGCTGCAAGGTACCACACTGAAGCATACTACAGCCCTCAACTGTCAGTTTCCTCGAGGCATGCCGAACTTGTTCCAGAACGATGAGGGCGGTGGGGTTAAATGGTTAAAGCGTTGGCTCGTCACGCCGAAGACCCGGGTTCGAATCTCCACATGGGCACAATGTGTGAAGCCCATTTCTGGTGTCCCCCGCCCTGATGTTGCTGGAATATTGCTAAAAGCGGCGTAAAACCAAACTCAGTCAGTCAGTCAGTCCAGAACGATGAAAATAAAGGTGTTCTTCTGACTTCTGCACGTGTCTGGCGTTTTAATGTGATCATTGCTGGCCATTTTTCTCGAATATATCATGCTTCTTGCAACTTTCGTGCTGTTCGAAGAACTATTTGGTTGCGTTCTTCGACCATTTTAACACCCCCTTTCACTAGTTCAAATCCAAAATTACATTCACAAGATTACCAATGAAAAACGTTTATGTCACGATAACTTTGCCTCAAACTACAAGCTATAGCGTCCCCAACAGAATATGTATACATACTCTCACACACAAAAAAACAAAGGTGATATTGACATATGACATTTTAATTGTTTATCCAAATTAGTGTTTGATTGTTATAATTTCGCCATAATAATGGTGGTTTGTGTGCACTGAACCAGTGCACCGCGCACAAACGCATCTTCGAAAACTTTAATGCACGTTTACGTTCGGAAGCTGGTGTCGAAACTTGCATGAAAATGTCATGGAGAAAAAGTGGTTCCCAATATGCATCGTAAGTAGGGAAATTGTCTAAATAAGGCGCTCTTAGGCGTTCGTTGGCATGATGTACAGAGACGAAATTCTAAGGACTCACGTGGTTCCGTTCAGTGACTGCCAGAGTGAATTGTTCCAGCAAGATAATGCACATGCCACTATTCAGGATCTTTAGAATGAGAATATTACCGACCTCAACCCCATTTGCGGGATGACCACGGATGACGCATACGTGATCAACTGTAGCAGGCATTGCAATGTGAATGGGACAGAATTCCGAAAGGTGGTGAAATTATTCAGTTCATGCCGAGACGTTGCAGAGCAGTTTTGGAGACTCATGGTGGCCACAACAGATACTAAAGACAACGCCCAGCCCTGTGCCGTAACGACTTGACCTGGGGTTCTAACGAATTGATTGGATAACCGATGACCTCTCAATTAGGTCACGTTGTGACGGAACTACTTTCTCATTCATAACAAACACGTGGGAACGAACGCCTTCGCATATTGAACTTTTTATAAGCTATACATGTTAACAGACATTTGATCTTTTATACTGTAAAATTTGGCTGCAACTGATCTAGAATTACGTGCGTTATCTCACTTTACAGTTAGCAGATTAAATTCGCGAAAATACACCTACGCGTTTCTTTTTTGGGAGAGTATATGTTGTATCTCTGGTATAAGCCGCTTATCAGAGTCAACAAAAAATCCCTACTGGTATTTGGAGATCAGCTAGTACTACTCTGTAAACTAATACCAAACTCTGAGACAAACCTGACAAAACCTTGGCTCATAGAAGTATACACGCTTCCAACAGATAACAATTATTCTGGGATCATCTTATCGTTATCTACAAGCTTGCATGTTGTTCTGCAGTATTTCCTTTGTATTGTGACTGGTATCAAGACAAGTAAGAACACTTTATTTATTTCCATATAAGGGGCGGTGGGGTAGCCGAGTGGTAAAAGCGTTGGCTCGTCACCCGAAGACCCGGGTTCTATTCCTCACACGGGCACAATGTGTGAAGCCCATTTAGAGTGTCCCCTTCCCTGGGATTGCTGGAATATTGCTAAAAGCGGCGTAAAACCACTCAACTCTTTGCATATAACTATAGTTTTTCTGGAATGGTTGGTGGGTATACTCAAATCAGCTCTTATTCTGTCATGGCTACACATCTCCTTGAACGTTACAACTAACTGTTTAATCGAATATTTCTGTCGTGATTTTGTATGGGCTTCACACATTGTACATATGTGTGGAATTGAACCCGGGTCTTCGGCGTGATGAGCGAATACTTAACCACTAGGCTACCCCACCGTGCCGTGCGTTTTACACGTGTATGCGACTTGCACATGCCTTTTCATCACACTATGCAGCATTTGGTACCCACAGAGACACCGTTTGTGTAGAATTAGGACATCTACACATGTAGACATACGCCGCCAAACACGGATAACACATAGTAATGTCTGTACCAGACAAAACTGTGGTTGATATTACGAGGAACGTCCGACTAGGACTCGCCGTGAGTGAGTGAGTTTAGTTTTACGCCACCTTTACCACTAGTCCAGTAATATCACGGCGGGGGACACGAGAAATGGTTTCACACTTTATACCCTTGTGGGGACTCGAACCCGGGTCCTCGTCGCCAAATAGCTAGAATCTTGCTCAGTGTTGCGTTAAACAACCAACAAACAAGAAGCCAGCAAAACCACGTGATCTGTTTCACGTTTCAGTGCATGAAGATTCAGAGTGACAAAATCTGACCAAAGAACTGCAACTTTCAAAGAGTCGAGCAATATTCTGTGAGCTCCCACCTTCTGTGTCTACATTTAAGAACTGTTTTGGTACAATCGACCATGTTCTTTCCACAAAGATTTCCAAAAGAGTCCTACAACCCTTTCTCGGAAGTTATTTAATCATTGCTTCGGGAAAGCTATCAAAGTTTGTTTAGACGTAATGAGGACATTTCCAAGTTTGACGCAATGACACAATTGATGTCCGCTGCAGCTTACACGACATGTTTGTATGTCTTGTGAAGAGGATTTCCCTCTGCGTGTGTTTTGTCGGGTCCCATTGATGTGCAGGATACGCTTACCTTTTCTCTAACGCATAGTATTGATTCACATATGATATAGTTGGAACCCTATACGTACTTATGATATAGTTGGAACCCTATACATACTTATAACATAGTTGGAACTCGATACGTACTTACGATACAGTTGGAACCCTAAACGTACTTATGATACGTACTTATAATATAGTTGGAACCCTATACGTACTTATGATGTAGTTGGAACCCTATACGTACTTATGACATAGTTGGAACCCTATACGTACTTATGATGTAGTGGGAACCCGATACGTACTTAGGATATAGTTGGAACCCTATACGTACTTAGGATATAGTTGGAACCGTATTTTGGCCCTTTCCTTCAAGTAGATTGCTTATCATAAAGGAGAAGTTCTTGTCGTTTTGATCAGCTTTTGCTTTGATGAGCCTTATAAGAGTTTAAGCAAAATGAAATGTACAGCACGTTTGCAGCAAAATCAAAGTCACAACAACTTTGTACCCAAGTTATTATGTAGCGGACACAGACGAGGGGTTCCGAATGGAATTGTTCGGTTTCTGATTGCATCCCGGTGACCCGTAACCGAGGACTTCCGAATGGACGTGTTCGGTTTTTGACTGCATCAGACGTACGTCCCTTTGTTACCCGTAACCGATGTCTCTGTCTAAGAGTTCCGAATGGACGTGTTCGGTTTTTGACTGCATCAGACGTACACAACTTGGGGACCCGTAACCGACATCTCTGTCGAGGAGTTCAGAATGGACGTGTTCGGTTTCCGGCTGTATCAGACGTGCAGACGTAAGCCATCACTGACGTCTCAACACTCCACTCATGCCAGTTCTTATCAGCATATACTTTTTAATGACGTCATGTTCTTGCCACGTGCACTTACATTATCCATATAGCACCTGCAAAGTCACCTGGTCTTCCCAGTCTGTTAACCACACTCCCAGGTAAGACAACCCTCCATGAATGTGTATGCACCGTTATATGTACAGGAAATTGTGTAATATTACAATTTAATTTATTATCAAACACAATTGTATTACATCGTTTCTGGCAAGATTCAGTAGAAGTTGATGACATTATGTACTAGCAATAATTAGTTGTCAGAAATGTACTGCTATCTAATGTAACTAGTTGTGTGACAATTACTATATATGAATGCTTTCGAAGTCAAGGGTGATCTTAAATCTTCTAGAAAAGCTACAGACTAATCCAGCATTCCATAAAATCTTCCAGAATGTTTTTAGACTGTAGGAGTGTTTCTCTCATCTCGTCACATCATAATCAGTTGTTATGGAAAGGTCATTGTTTTACCGACCTGTGAAGATCTGGGTTAGAATGAATCTTCAGTAACCCATGCTTGTCGTAAGAGGCGACTAACGGGATCGGGTGGTCAGGCTCGCTCGCATGATTGACACATGTCATCGGTTCCCATTTGCGCAGATCGATGTTCATGCCGTTGATCACTGGATTGTCTGGTCCAGACTCGATTATTTACAGACCGACGCCATTTAGCTGGAATATTGCTGAGTGCGGCGTAACACTAAACTCACTCACTCATAGTTTTACCCAGGATATCCAGGGATGGTCATTGTTTTACTCAGGATATCCAGGAAAGGTCATTGTTTTACCTAGAATATCCAGGAAAGGTCATTGTTTTACCCAGGATATCCAGGGAAGGTCATTGTTTTACCCATATATATCCAGAGAAGTCATCATTTTACCCAGGATATCCAGGGAAGGTCATCGGTTTACCCAGGATATCCAGGGAAGGTCATCGGTTTACCCAGGATATCCAGGGAAGGTCATCGGTGTACCCAGGATATCCAGGGAAGGCCATTGTTTCACCCAGGATATCCAGTCTAAGCCTGTTTCGGAAGTTCCGCTCTGCGTGATGACTATTATTATTCTTGACTACCTGGTCCAGTGCTTCTGTATTTTGTACTACCATTATAATGGTACTGCCAAAGAATGTTCTACTGACACAATATTGCGAACTGCTGTTTTAACTTACAATGCAGCTATTTGAATTGATCTGTAAACATAATTAATTTAATCATACAATTGTTAATTAATAGCATTTCGGTGGTTTTGTAGGTTTCACACTGAATTCTTTTGTTGTATACATATACTTGTTAATGTTCCGATTTTGAAGACTGACTGACTGATTTTTGTTTTACGCCACTTTGAGCAATATTCCAGCAACATCACGGCTGGGGACACCAGAAATGGGCTTCACACATTTTACTCATGTGGGGATTCGAGCCCGGGTCTTCGGCGTGACGAGCCAACGCTTTAACCACTAGGCTACCCCACCACCCCCGATTTTGAAGAGGACACTTAACAATATTAACTGTGTACAAACACAGATACAAGAAATCACTGTAAATTGTCTCTGCTTAGGATTAAGAGTGAGTGAGAGAGTTTAGTTTTACGCTGCACTTAGCAATATTCAAGCTATATGGCGGCGGTTTGTAAATAACCAAGTCTGGACGCTTAGGATTAAGAGGAAAGACTGGTTTCTTCTTTTCGTGACCAGTGACCACATGCTGCTACAGACAACTATATAAACTGTGGGGCTAAATATAGCTTACACCACCGATGGCAGCTACGAATGATACAAAATAAAGATGAATTCGATACTGGTATAACGGAAGTTTGACAAGGTCACGCCAATCAAACCCGTGAGGACCGGGTTAGAATTGTTCTTTAGTAACCCATGCTTGTCGTAAGAGGCGACTAACGGGATCGGGTTGTCAGACTCGCTGATTTGGTTCACCACGATCGCGATCGATGCTCATGATGTTGATCACTGGATTGTCTGGTCCAGACTCGATTATTTACAGATAGACGTCATATGGCTGGAATATTGCTGAGTGTGGTGTAAAACTTAACTCACTCACTCACACGAATTAGCCTAGTAACAACAGATCAGCCTAGTAACGTTTTGATAACGATCCCAATTTCTGGGTTCAATATATTGTTCAAAAGAATACCTTCTTAAACGGTTGGTTCACGGACGATACAGGCTAAACCTGTGGATCAGGAAATGGCACAGGTGCTTCGAATTTCCGATGTTTGAATCCACACTTTGATCTGGCGCCATATGAAAGATAAAATACAGATGTTGTTGATAGTGTCTTTGTTTCCATGTAAATATGGTTTATATTCACTGATGGCTTGGTGAGATGGACTCAGTTGTGGCCTTCAGCGTTTTGTACGCCGCCTTCTGATATCTCCCACATTGGCACACAAATGTGCAAAACTGTTACCCTCGCCCCATTGGCTGCATGGTTAGTATACTCCCCAGGGCGCTGAGTTTAGAACAAGTACGCAAGATTTACCGTGTTATAATAATATAGCGTTATAATATTTCATTTGTGAAAATAAATTGGCGATTAAATAATTATAGCAATGGAACTACCCGCGTGTATTACACACTTACTCGGGTCTTTCAGAGACATTTTGAATGTCTTAAAACATGAAGACGCATTACGAAAATATATCTTTATTGTCACGGCTACTTCATGCAAATATAGGGGGCGGTGGGGTAGCCTAGTGGTTAAAGCGTTGGCTCGTCACGCCGAAGACCCGGGTTCGATTCCCCACATGGGCACAATGTGTGAAACCCATTTCTGGTGTCCCCCGCCGTGATGTTGCTGGAATATTGCTCAAAGCGGCGTTAAACCAAACTCAGTCAGTCAGTCAGTCATGCAAATATATCAGATACACTCTTCAAAAAAAGAAACGCATAAGCCTTTATTAGAAGAATGTATTGCGTTAGTATAAGGGGAATAAAAAAGGTGAAAATTCACACGTATATAGACAAAGAGTTCGCCAACACAACAGCAGTCTTTATTGTTCTGTTTATGTTGACTCGAGTCCACAACATGGCGTCAAAGTCAATACTTTGCATGGTTACCATTGGCAGCAATTATTGCTCGGCACCGTCTCGGCACAGACTGGATAAGTCGACGAAGTCGCTCTTGCGGAATTCTTCACCACTCTTGCTGTAATGCGATGGCCAGTTGTGGGAGCGTCTGAGGCGTGTTTTGACGTTGACGTACACGTCTATAGGGTTAGGGGCGGTGGGGTAGCCTAGTGGTTAAAGCGTTGGCTCGTCACGCCGAAGACCCGGGTTCGATTCCCCACATGGGTACAATGTGTTAAGCCCATTTCTGGTGTCCCCCGCCGTGATGTTGCTGGAATATTGCTCAAAGCGGCGTAAAACCAAACTCAGTCAGTCAGTCAGTCTATAGGGTTAAGATCAAACCGAAACATGAGTCTCATTAATCTATTCAGACAATGACCTACTTTTCAGCCGATCCGAATTTTCTCGTGTGAAATTGAAAATAGACATCACAAATAACTATGGTTACACTGAATTCCAATTCCTGGTTTCATAAGAAAATGGTATTTACAAATGAATTTTAATTTCAAACTTTAATAACTTCGTATTTCTATATTTTATGGCGAGGTGTAGGCAGCATGACCTTAACTAAGATGTCACAGACTGACCCTGTTTGATGAGGTCGTAAAATGATTCACAATGCATCTGGCACACTGGTTACACCTGTTATTCAGTGTAGTTCAGTAAAGCACAATGTGATTGGTATAACATCAAGTCCGTACCAGACCGGACTACCGTGAGAGCCTCGTTTTGAGATTTCCACGATTTCCAGGTGTCCGTTTGTCAGAGCTCGCTGTTCGACAGAGCACGCTGCACGACGTGTTTGCAAGGATTAGAAGGAGCATAGTGTTGCACTAAACAAGTGCTTTGAAATCGGTCTGCAGGAAACGATCCCAAAGGCGAGATATGGTGCTTTGATGTCAGCAACTGCTGACTGCGACTCCCCAGCTTCAAGGCGGCCTATGGCAGTGTTTCGATTGGCGGCACTCGTGGCATGATGATTTCTCTTTTCCAGGCAAAAACGAATGACAAAACTAAACACAACGTTTGTCTTTTATATTCTCAAAATCATCTATGCATTTCTCTTTTTTTTCTTCTTTTTTTGAAGAGTGAAAATCATTAATTACACTTTTCCAGGTTGCTGATTTTTGTTGTTATTGTTTGTTGTTAAACGTTAAAGTCAGCAATATTCTAGCCATATGGCGGCGGTCTGTAAATAATCTAGGCTGGACCAGACAATCAAGTGATCAACAGCATGAGCAACGATCTGCATAATTTGGATCTGATGACATGTGTCAACCAAGTCAGTTCTCTTGAATCAATAATGTATTACATAATTAGAGGTATTAAAAGGCTTATAGAATTAGTTTACTTTGTACAAATAATCGTGTAGTTTATTCTCTAAAACGTCGCCAACAGTATGCACGACGAATCCTACAGGCTTCTACCACAGTGCTTATCACGTATCATTTTTCAGGTTCGTCATGAAAGTGCTTATTGTCCTATTTGCTGTTGTGGCCTCTGCTTTCGCGGCTGGGTGAGTGTTGACATTTTGAGCTCCATCCATGAAGTCACATTAACGATATTAACGCTCACGATTAGATAGATAATTCCACCTCAATTGATAAAAAATATATTCCACCTCTGGATGATGATGAAATCACATCATGGACACGTCTTATTTATAAAATTTGTGTATAACCTTCCGACAGTTGCAATTTGAGCGGTTCTCAATTCTGTGTCATATGAAGCAATGTGACGTCGTATTGTTTCATATTCTGAGAAAATACTATATGACGTCATCATTATTCATGATTACGTCATCTGGGTGATTTTACGAAATAACTTACTAAGACTGTCGTAAGTCTATGTTCAGGTATGGAAGTAAGGATCATCGGATGGTGCCGATTTGGAGATTTTACGAGCGCTTTCAGACATAATGCGTATTTCGAACACTTAAATCACGCTGAAGACACACATATGGGTACATTATGTGAAATCCATTTCTGGAGGTCACTGGAATATCGCTCAAATAGGCGTAAAACCATACTCACACACCACCCAACTGTAAAAGTGCTGACTGCGGCATTAAGCAGCATTCAACCCAGCTTCGTGTTAAGAATATCATAGAGAATTACGTTGTTTCCAGCGATGCCACTAGCGATGCTGTTGCCAAGTTCAAGGCCACCGTCAAAGCCCAAGTCGAAGCACTCTTCCTTAGTGCCGACACAAATAAGGATGGGCAATTCGACAAGGCAGACATGGTCTCACTCTTCACCGACTACGATTCCGACGGTAAGACTAAACCACTTGATCTGATTATCCTTCAATTCCTTGTCTCTACACAAAACCCGGGGGTTCGCAAACATATTGGACAATGAAAGTCTCGGTTACTCATGCACCTAAGGTGCACTGCAGAGCTGCGTTCCTCAAATATGCCATATGCTGTTGAACCTCGTTCAGGGTTTGCCGGCGCTGTTACGAAAGCCTATTGCTTCCATGGCCTCCTTTCACAAAGCACTAAAGTGATCGTAAGTCACTATAGTCAGGGAGCTTAGGGCTATTTTCAGGGCATTTGGTTCAGATTCTTCCAAAAGCACCAAATTTGCCACAGAGGTAGCTTAAGGCATACTAATTCGATTCCAGACGGGCGCCAAGATGGCGGCCCCCTGTGGCGGCCATATTGGACAAAAACTAGTGTGTAACTAGTGTGACAAAAGTTATTACCAATATAAAATTTAAAGAGCTGACCGAAAACTTCAAAATATGATACAAAACCCATCAAAATTCATACAATACTTGGAATTTGAAGATATTTTCACTTTGGAAATAGTGAATTCAGTGTTCGGTTTTAAGAGGTATCATATTGTAAGTGACTTGAAATGGAATTATGTAGAAATAATATTTATGTTTTAATCCTAAGATGTTTTTCCTCTAAAAAATATCCAGTCAGTAGTGAATCAGAGTACACCAGAAATAACAATAGTATACACAGAATGTATATATTGTACTTGCACATGACTGTCAGTGATAGATATAGTAACTATTTTACCTAGTTACTGTCAGTATTTGTGCATCCTCCTTCGCATTGGCAGAGGACTGTACATCGTACACCAGCACTGTTGCATTTACACCTTCCCACACAGCCCTTTTTGCAACTGCAGTGTAGGAGGATAGAACATGCTGCTGAAGCATCACTGAGGGTGGTCCATAGAGGTTGCCAGTTATGGCTGTCGTCTTTCTGCTAACCCCAATCACTGAAGTCAGGGATTTCCTGGTAAGCAATGGTTGCCTGCTCCCAAAAGAAACTCGTCTGCAGAATAGATCGTGTCACATGTTGAAACAACGCAGCTTGAGTAGGCAGGAATTTTTCCAATGACCTGCTTCCAGTAGTGAAAAGGTGATGCCTTGCTTCATTCATGCGCCCTACTCCACAACTTCTGCTGCACATCAGTACAACAAATCTTTCAATCTGTTGAATGTGTCTCGACTCAGTCACGAAGTGTTCAGGATCCTGTGTGAGAGCCACTAGTGTGTCTGTCAGGTCAGGTAGACTTGTCCAGGTTGTCCATGCAGATTTTCTTTCCACATCCAAGAATATGTGAAGTTGTGTCACAGCCAGTAAGACTGTGGAAGAGGGGGTAATGCCAAGGACTTTGATGTACCAAGATGAGAGTACATATCATGGGTTGGGATGTCTTTGCACTTTTTTACCAGTTCCAAATCCGATCCAGAGCTCTGTTAGGCCTAAGGTCTCAAAGACCCTTATTGCCAAAATCACAACATCGCTGTCAACAGTGCGAACATAGGCTGATGTGTGGCCATGCTCTGCAGCATGTCGGAGATGTAGGATGATTCTTGTGTCAGCCTCGGTATGGTTGCATGGCTGTAGTGTACCCAGGTCACACTGTCGGTATGAAAGCACATTTTCACAGTGGGCATTCAGGAGGAGCTTTCCATCCATATCCGTTTTGGAGATCTGACTGCTGATGAATGAGAAGAATTCCCTTTTGTTCTCCTCATTCTTGAGGAAACCACTGTTCCATTCATGTTTTGGTATCAGGGTGCTGCCATCACCAACTCTTGTTCTTGAACCAATCGCAGGCCTTTAAAATTAAAACTCTCTGGGTAGTTATCCCATACCGCATCAATCCGTTGGGCTCCATTCTTCATCTGGGCCTCAAGATATGGAATGACTTGAAGGGACACATAGTCAGAGAATGGTTTTTCTACTGTTGAGCGCAGCATGTGGATGACTGCTGCCATATCCAAAACCACGACTGTTGCTAGTTTTGGAGCAGTTGTACGGCCAGTTGGTGCTTTGATACAGTCCAGTATGTCTGACTTTGTTCCAAATCTCAATGACCCTCTGTCAACTAGGCTTGGTGGTTCCTTTTGATTTTCATACATGAAAAAGTCGGCCAAGTCTGCATCTGGGCGGGACTGCAAAGAAAGGAAGAGCTGTGTCACCAATATCATGTTTTGTTTCTGAATACCAACATCCTTAGGTCCTTTTCTCCTTGGGTCAGGTCGATTTGCAAAGGTCAGCATGTTATTTCTTTTGATTGGATCTGTTACAGGCACAGATATCTTCACCAGTCTCTCTTGGACATAATCTGCATGCAGGGCTTTGCCAGCTTCAGAGATTTGTAACAGACTGTTCACGACGGACGGCTCCATGACAGTTTGGGTATCCAGAGCAACAAGGGTCTTTTTGAAATTTGTCTTGTAAATGATGTCCTTCCTCATGATGAGCTGTTGCCTGGGGTGAAAGGTCATGTGTTGATTCAAACTCCTTTACAATCTGCATACAGTCTGATCCTGCAAGCATATAAAGGGTAAGTGCTTCAGGATTGTCATAAAGACCAGTTGCTCCACTGTGTTCCTGGAGGGACTGTTCGTGGGCTTGGTCCTTGGCCGTAAGACTGCCCTTCATAAATTCATCAAGTATCTCAGGTTGATTCTTGCTAAGTTCAACCATGTCACGTACATGTACTGGAAGCCAACGTGCATAGCTTGTGTGGTCCAATGCGTGAAACCAATCACAAAGTTTGTCACATGATTGTACATAAAGTTGGAAGTCTCCTTCCCTCAAGGACCTCACAAAAGGAGCCATGAGCAGTTCTAGTATTTGAACTGTGCAAAACTTTGAGAACGTTGATCCCACATGTTGAAAGATTCCGGTGGACCCATGACACCCTTGCAATATTCAGAGTATGCATTCCGCTTGAGGATATTCAGCGATATGAGGGAAACCTGGTGGGCATATCTTGTGCGCTTGATGTGATGCTCATGGAGGGTTGACTTAGCTCGACCAGATGTGAGGATCTCTGCTTGAGTTAGTACCGTTGCCCACCCTGAGTCACGTAGCAGCTTCCCTATCATTAGATGCATCTTGTCTTCGATGTGCAATGCACCCATCATAGAAACAAGCTTGTCTTCTCCGTAAGCATCTGGGAACTGCCATTGGAGGAGTTTTATAATGGCATATAGTGGCTGATCTGCTCCAAGTACTGTGGTCTGGCCCGGGTTTAAGAACCCGCACAGACAAATCCATAGCATGTTTCATAGAAGATGCAGATGCTGCTTTATCCGGGAAGAAAGAATATATACCAATCTCTGCTGGAGGTTTCACAGATCTGTCACTTGCAAGAGACAAGTTGTACCCTACCCAGGTGATGATATCACCCTCTTCTACTGGACCCTTGTTCAATACATCTGAGACGAGTGTAAGCCATGCCTGATCCTTATCCATTGAATCTTCTACAAGGTGACTTGGTCGGACTTGGTTTGTAGTAGATTTTGGAGCATAGACATCTGTCTCAGAGAGTTCTACCGGTTGTTGAATCGTATAAAAGTCCGGCAACTTTGGAGGGGTTGTGTCCATTGGATCCTGTTTTATCGGAGCATGCTTTACTCCCATATTCTCATTTGATAGATGATTGGTCACACTGAGTGCATAGCCATGAAATTCATCTTGTGAGAAATTTCCTTGTGCTTTGCTGTCAAGATTATCCACATTCTGTGTAGTGAACCATATTATATTTTTTTTCTAAAATGGCATTTTCTACATAAATCGATAAGAAACTATAAAAAAACATGTTCTTAGAAAAAGAAAGAGGATATATTTTGTATTTCTTCGTTTGTTTATTGACATTTTGATGTTTTTGGTCCACCCTCTAGATCTTAATTTTCATCTAACTTCTTTAATATCATTCAAACAAATTTTATTTATATATCACTGTAAAGCTCTTTTTTTTGTCTTTCATTTGATATACAACATGATTATGTACAATTTATGACAATTTATGACTAAAATGTTTTGTTTTTTGTCCAATATGGGGGCGGCCATCTTGGCGCCCGTCAGAAATAAGCTTAGTATGTCTTAAGCTACCTCTGTGCCAAATTTGGTGCTTTTGGAAGAATCTGAACCAAAATACCCCTATGCCCCCTCACTAAGGTAACCTTGAGCTGTCTTAAAGAATGGGAGTTAAGGTCAACCTTTGTAAAGGTTGCTTCGTGAAAGGGGCCCCTGGTAACATAAATCATGGCTCCGACCCTGAGGATAATGTACCCCAATTGCTTGTTGTTAGAGGACACTGAGCTGCTTGAGTGGACCCTCTCGATGACTTGCTGTCATCGTATCAGAATGCTCATGATGTGCTTTTGATGGACCATCGACATGGAGCTGCGGCGTAAAACAACAAACAAACGATCAAACATTATCCCCTTCGACCAAGGGCGTAGCTACCATTGCAAAAAAAGCCCGGGCTTACACATGATTGTTGGTAAAATGGTTGGGCAAGCCATTACTACTTTCTAAATATGAAGTCTTGTCTTTGCAGGCGATAAGAATGTGACTGAGGAAGAGTTCGTGGACAAGTTCAGCGGAAACCAGAAGTCACTTTCTGTCATCGCTAAGGGCCTCTTCTTGGAACTCGATATGGACGGGGACGATGGAATTACGGACTCTGACCTTGACCTTTACTTCAAGAAGATTGACCAAAATGGTACGTAAAAGTTGCAGTGATAGCTATAATATCTTCGTTTTAATTTAATTTTATCTAGGGATATGGATGGATATATTTTGAGAAGACGCCTTGAGAATCTTCCTTGATGGTTTGTAGTTTTCATAGGTGTAAAATATCAACGATGTATCGGTCCACAGTACTCAGAGAGGCTCGGGGATTACGTTGACTGTGTGGGACCTTGCTCACTATATCAACCACTGGTTTGTATGGCACAGCATAATAAACTGGGTTCTGAGGTTTCAGCAACACAAATTAAAAGAAGAAGGAATCATATCATGAAATTTGCTATCAAGTTGAGAGAACCTCAGATTCTCAAAAATTTGACGTTCAGGGTGCGGTTGTAGAAAGCAACCTTAGCGCTACGCCAGTCCTGAGTCTATGTTAAGGTATGGGAGTTACGATCACCTTAGCGCTAAGACTGCTTTGTACAACGGCATCCTGGTTAACACAGCTTAGTACGTGGAGGTTTTCAGTATATTTCAAGAGTGATCAGGTTGTCGAATCTCAAACATGACAAAATGTTTCAGATGATGGCACGGTTGAGAAGAGCGAATTCACTAAATATTTCACTGAGGTGAGTGTTTTGAGAAGATTTACAGCATGACGTACCTGAAACCTCTTACATGCTCCAGATACAAGTAACCATGACACTCACATGTTCAAATCCCAGGTAACCATGACGCTCACATGTTCACAACCCAGGTAACCATGACACTCACATGTTCACATCCCAGGTATGCATGACAAACATCTTCACATCCCAGGTAACCATGACACTCACATGTTCCCACCCCAGATAACCATGACACTCACATGTTCACAACCCAGGTAACCATGACACTCACATGTTCACATCCCAGGTATGCATGACAAACATCTTCACATCCCAGGTAACCATGACACTCACATGTTCACACCCCAGGTAAGCATGACACACACATGTTCACATCCCAGGTAACCATGACACTCACATGTTCACATCCCAGGCAACCATGACACTCACATGTTCACATCCCAGGTAACCATGACACTCACATGTTCACATCCCACGTAAACATGACACTCACATGTTCACTCCCGAGGTAAGCATGACACTCACATGTTCACATCCCAGGTAACAATGACACTCACGTGTTCACATCCCAGGTAACCATGACACTCACGTGTTCACATCCCAGGTTAGCATGACACTCACATGTTCACACCCCAGGTAACCATGACACTCACATGTTCACATCCCAGGTAACCATGACACTCACATATTCACATCCCAGGTAAGCATGACACTCACATGTTCACGTCCCAGGTAACCATGACACTCACATGTTCACATCCCGACACTCACATGTTCACAACCCAGGTAAGCATGACACTCACATGTTCCAACCCCAGGTAAGCATGACACTCACATGTTCACACCCCAGGTAACCATGGCACTCACGTGTTCACATCCCAGGTAACCATGACACTCACATGTTCACACCCCAGATAACCATGACACTCACATGTTCACATCCCAGGTAAGCATGACACTCACATGTTCACACCCCAGGTAAGCATGACACTCACATGTTCACACCCCAGGTAAAGCATGACACTCACATGTTCACACCCCAGGTAACCATGACACTCACATGTTCACATCCCAGGTAACCATGACACTCACATGTTCACATCCCAACCATGACACACACATGTTCACATCCCAGGTAACCATGACACTCACATGTTCACATCCCAGGTAACCATGACACTCACATGTTCACATCCCAGGTAACCATGACATGACATGTTCACATCCCAGGTAAGCATGACACTCACATGTTCACATCCCAGGTAACCATGACACTCACATGTTCACATCCCAGGTAACCATGACACTCACATGTTCACATCCCAGGGTAACCATGACACTCACATGTTCACATCCCAGGTAACCATGACACTCACATGTTCACATCCCCCAGGTAAGCATGACACTCACATGTTCACATCCCAGGTAACCATGACACTCACATGTTCACACCCCAGGGTGTAACCATGACACTCTCACATGTTCACATCCCAGGTAAAGCATGACACTCACATGTTCACATCCCAGGTAACCATGACATGACACTCACATGTTCACATAAATCCCACTCACATGTTCACATCCCAGGTAACCATGACACTCTCACATGTTCACATGTTCACATCCCAGGTAAGCATGACACTCACATGTTCACATGTTCACATCCCAGGTAACCATGACACTCACATGTTCACATCCCAGGTAACCATGACACTCACATGTTCACATGTTCACAACCAGGTAACCATGACACTCACATGTTCACACCCCAGGTAACCATGACACTCACATGTTCACATCCCAGGTAAGCATGACACTCACATGTTCACACCCATCAGGTAAGCATGACACTCACATGTTCACATCCCAGGTAACACACTCACATGTTCATCCCAGGTAACCATGACACTCACATGTTCACATCCCAGGTAAGCATGACACTCACATGTTCACATCCCAGGTAACCATGACACTCACATGTTCACATCCCAGGTAACCATGACACTCACATGTTCACATCCCAGGTAACCATGACACTCACATGTTCACATCCCAGGTAACCATGACACTCACATGTTCACACCCCAGGTAATCATGACACTCACATGTTCACATCCCAGGTAACCATGACACTCACATGTTCACATCCCACATGACACTCACATGTAAGCCATGACACTCACATGTTCACATCCCAGGTAACCATGACACTCACATGTTCACACCCCAGGTAACCATGACATGTTCACATCCCAGGTAACCTCATCACTCACATGTTCACATCCCAGGTAACCATGACACTCACATGTTCACATCCCAGGTAAGCATGACACTCACATGTTCACATCCCAGGTAAGCATGACACTCACATGTTCACACCCCAGGTAAGCATGACACTCACATGTTCACATCCCAGGTAACCATGACACTCACATGTTCACATCCCAGGTAACCATGACACTCACATGTTCACATCCCAGGTAACCATGACACTCACATGTTCACATCCCAGGTAACCATGACACTCACATGTTCACATCCCCAGGTAACCATGACACTCACATGTTCACATCCCAGGTAACCATGACATGGTAACTCACATGTTAACCACACTCCCCCCAGGTAACCATGACACTCACATGTTCACATCCCAGGTAACCATGACACTCACATGTTCACATCCCAGGTAAGCATGACACTCACATGTTCACATCCCAGGTAACCATGACACTCACATGTTCACATCCCAGGTAACCATGACACTCACATGTTCACATCCCAGGTAAGCATGACACTCACATGTTCACATCCCAGGTAAGCATGACACTCACATGTTCACATCCCAGGTAAGCCATGACACTCACATGTTCACATCCCAGGTAACCATGACACTCTCATGTTCCATGACACTCACATGTTCACACCCCAGGTAAGCATGACACTCACATGTTCACATCCCAGGTAACCATGACACTCACATGTTCACACCCCAGGTAACCATGACACTCACATGTTCACATCCCAGGTAAGCATGACACTCACATGTTCACACCCCAGGTAAGCATGACACTCACATGTTCACACCCCAGGTAACCATGACACTCACATGTTCACTTCACCCCAGGTAACCATGACACTCACATGTTCACATCCCAGGTAAGCATGACACTCACATGTTCACATCCCAGGTAACCATGACACTCACATGTTCACATCCCAGGTAACCATGACACTCACATGTTCACACACCCCAGGTAACCATGACACTCACATGTTCACACCCCAGGTAACCATGACACTCACATGTTCACATCCCAGGTAACCATGACACTCACATGTTCACATCCCAGGTAACCATGACACTCACATGTTCACATCCCAGGTAAGCATGACACTCACATGTTCACATCCCAGGTAACCATGACACTCACATGTTCACATCCCAGGTAACCATGACACTCACATGTTCACATCCCAGGTAACCATGACACTCACATGTTCACATCCCAGGTAACCATGACACTCACATGTTCACATCCCAGGTAAGCATGACACTCACATGTTCACATCCCAGGTAACCATGACACTCACGTGTTCACACCCCAGGTAACCATGACACTCACATGTTCACATCCCAGGTAACCACATGTTCACATGACACTCACATGTTCACATCCATGACGCTCACATGTTCACATCCCAGGGTAACCATGACACTCACATGTTCACATCCCAGGTAAGCATGACACTCACATGTTCACATCCCAGGTAACCATGACACTCACATGTTCACATCCCATACACTCACAACCATGACACTCACATGTTCACATCCCAGGTAAACCATGACACTCACATGTTCACATCCCAGGTAACATGACACTCACATGTTCACATCCCAGGTAACCATGACACTCACATGTTCACATCCCAGGTAACCATGACACTCACATGTTCACATGTTCACATCCCAGGTTCACATCCCAGGTAACCATGACACTCACATGTTCACATCCCAGGTAAGCATGACACTCACATGTTCACATCCCAGGTAAATCATGACACTCACATGTTCACATCCCAGGTAAATGCATGACACTCACATGTTCACATCCCAGTTAACCATGACACTCACATGTTCACACATGTTCACATCCCAACCATGACACTAAGCATGACACTCACATGTTCACATCCCAGGTAAGCATGACACTCACATGTTCACATCCCAGGTAACCATGACACTCACATGTTCACATTAACCATGACACTCACATGTTCACATCCCAGGTAAGCATGACACTCACATGTTCACATCCCAGGTAAGCATGACACTCACATGTTCACATCCCAGGTAACCATGACACTCACATGTTCACATCCCAGGTAACCATGACACTCACATGTTCACACCCCAGGTAAGCATGACACTCACATGTTCACATCCCAGGTAACCATGACACTCACATGTTCACATCCCAGGTAACCATGATGACACTCACATGTTCACATCCCAGGACACTTACATGTAAACCATGACACTCACATGTTCACATCCCAGGTAACCATGACACTCACATGTTCACATCCCCAGGTAACCATGACACTCACATGTTCACACCCCAGGTAAGCATGACACTCACATGTTCACATCCCAGGTAACCATGACACTCACATGTTCACATCCCAGGTAACATGTTCACATCCCAGGTAAGCATGACACTCACATGTTCACATCCCAGGTAACCATGACACTCACATGTTCACATCCCAGGTAACCATGACACTCACATGTTCACATCCCAGGTAACATGACACTCACATGTTCACAACCCAGGTAACCATGACACTCACATGTTCACATCCCAGGTAACCATGACACTCTCACATGTTCACACATCCCAGGTAACCATGACACTCACATGTTCACACATGTTCACATCCCAGGTAACCATGACACTCACATGTTCACATCCCAGGTAACCATGACACTCACATGT